GGGAGATTAATAGGGAGAGATAGAGTTAAATCTGATCTCATAGTAACCATTTTGCTTATGTTTTGGGTATTGGTGGGGACCTAACCCAGGGCCTCACATCCGAGCCAGGGACCACTTTAAATTTACATGATCTAAGCAATCATTTAATAGGCAGTGATTGGCAGATTGGGTAGAGAGACCCAACTACTAGAAACTCATTATTTTTTGTTTTTTAAATTTAAATTGTTAATAATACATGTTTGTAGTAATAATGCTTACATTCATGGTAGGGAGTTGGTATGTGTACAGAACACATCTTAATTCTTTTTTTTTTTTTTTTTTTTTGGTACTGAACTCATGACCTTCGCATGGGAGGCAAATGTGGTGCCACTAAGCTAAATCACCAGCCCACATCTTAATTCTTTTTAAATCACCCTTCCCCTCCACTCTCTTCCTGTTTCCTATTACCTATCTCTTGCTTTGCTTTTTAATTTATGTATACTTTGGGTTTTTCATATGAAGCTTGTGTATCTGATTTATTTCCCTTAAAAATATATGGTCCCAAGTTGCATCTGTTTTCCTACAAATGGCTGAGATTTACCCTTTTTATAGCACAGTAGTTCTCTGTTATATGTAAACACCACATTTTCTTAATCCATTTCCTCTGTTGATGGAGGACATAGGCCGCTTCTGGGATTTAGCTATTATGAATTGCCCAGCTGTAAACACGCTATGCATTATCAGTGTAATGTGATGTTTTTCACTCTTTCGGGAAGGTACTGATACCTAAAGGGGAGTAGCTGGGTCAAGTGAAATTTATATTTTGAGTGTTTTGAGGAATCTCCGTATTGACTTCTATAGTGGTTGTGTTAGTTTACACTGCTTGAAACCTCTCCCCAGCATTTGTTACTATTTGATTTCTTTTTTTTTTCTTTTCTTTTTTCTTGAGACAGGGTCTTGCTATGTAGCCCAGGCTGTCTTCACACTTGACAGTGATTCTCCTGCCTCAGCTTCTCAAGTGCTGGGATTACAGGTGTGCACCACCACATCAGCATTATTTAATTTCTTGATCATAACCGTTCTTTCTGGAGTAAGATGGACTCGTAGCATTGTTTTAATTTGCATTTATCTAATGGCCAGCAATGTTGAACATTCTTTCATCAGTTTATTGGTCATTTGTACTTCTGAGAAGTGTCTGTTCATTTCAGTTGCTCAGTTTTTCTTGGGTCTTTTATTAGGAGGGTCTAATTTTTCTTTTGAGTTCTTTGTATAGTGTAGATATTACTCTATCCAAGATGTAGTTGACAAGAATTTTTCTGTAGGTTATCTCTTCAATCTGCTTGTTGTTTCCTTTGCTATGCATAAGTTATTTAATTTGATATAATCCTATTTGTGGATCTTGATGTTATTTCTTGTGCAGTTGGTATTCTGTTCAGAAAGTTCCTGCCTATGCCTATGACTTAAAGAGTTTACCTGTCTTTTCTTCCAGCAGTGTTTCCATTTTAATATTTAATCTTTGATCCATTTTTGTTTTAGTTTAGTGCACGGTGGGAAATATGGGTCCAGGTTTGATCTTCAGCATGTGGACAGCCAGTTTTCCCAGCACCATTTGTCAAAGAGGTTGCCTTTCCTTCAGTATATATTTTTGACCCCTTTGTTCAGAAATTCATTTTAAATATAAAGACACACATAGGTTAAAAGCAAAGCTATGAGAAACGCTATACTAGTCAAGAGGGAAAATAACATGGGGTGGCTATATTGATGTCACACAAAGTAGATTATTTTTTATTTTTTTGAGACAGGGCCCAGGCTGGCTTTGAACTTGTGGTCCTGCCTCAGCTTCACAAAGTAGATTTTAAAGAACAAAATACTACAAAAGGTAAAGGCCACTTGATAATGCTGGAGTGAATTAATCCAAAAGACATGATGATCATAAGTCTTTATGGGTATGGTAACAGAGCTTCAGTAATGCACGTAAGAGCCAGATGTGACAAGTGTCTGTAATCCCAGCCAGTGGTAAGGAGCCTGAGGCAAGAGTATCGCTGTGAGTTTGCAGCCAGCCTGAACTACGTAGCGAGACTGTCTCAGACAAGATAAGGCAAAACAAGACAAAAAACAAAGTGGCAAAGGAGAAACATAGACAAAGTCTCAACCGTAAACAGATTTCAGAGCTTCTCGATAATAGAAAACCGTGGAGATCAGTAAGGGCACAGAGGACTGGAAAAGTACTGTTGACCATCCTGACCTAACTGATGTTTATAAATCACCCACCAGTAAAAGGAGAGATGGGCATGCCAAGACCCTACTCCTCAGGACAGCAGAAAGCACATTCTTGTCAAGCATAAGTGATATATGAATTTGTGGAGAGACCTTTCATTGTAAATCACGAAATCTCAGTGTATGTAAGAGAATTGATTTCATACAAACTATGTTTACTGGCTGTAGATGAGTTAAACTAGAAGTCATTAAAAGAAATGTAGTAGGGCTAGGGATTTAGCTCAGTGGTTTTGTCTCCTCCCTTGCAAGCACAAAGACCTGAATTCGATGCCCGGTACCAAAAAAAGAAAAAAGGAAAAAAAGAAATGTAGTGAAAAATCCTGAGCATTTTCAAACTTACAGATTACTACAAATTTTTTTGTTGTTACTGAGGAGTGAGCCCAGGCCCTTTGCACTGAGCTACATCCCATTCCTTTATAGCTTTTATTTAGAGACAGGGTCTTACTAAGTTACCAGGCAGGGCTTGAACTCGAGATCCTCCTGTGTGCCCCACCACACACCTGGCTTAAATAACAGACTTCTAAATAGCACATGAATCAAAGAAGTCAAAAGGGAATTAGAAAGTATGCTGAGCAGAGTGAAAATGAAAACACAACATTACAGAATTCGGGAGTTGCTGCTAACACAGTGCTTAGAGAACATTTGTAATGCTAAATGCTTAGAATTGAAGTTCACCCAAGAAGAAATACATACCATGAATAGCTTTTTATCTATTTACAAAGCTGAAATTGTAGTTAAAAATTTTCCACAAAGAAAACTCTAGGCTAAGATGGTTTCACTGGTAATTTTACCAAACAGTCATAGAGGAAATACCAATTCCATATAAACTTGTCCAGAAAATTGAAGGAGATATCTCTCCTCTCATCCTATTTTTTTACCCTGGTGCTCAGACTTTACAGATAATACAAGAAAACTATAAATTGGTATTTATCATAAATGTAGATAAGATTTTATCTATCTATCTATTTTTGTTTTTTGAGACAGGGTCTCACTGTGTAGTTGAGACTAACCTGGAACTCACTATGTAGCCCAGGCTGGTCTCGAACTCATACCAATCGTCCTGCCTCAGCCTCTCGAGTGCTGGGATTTCAGGCATGCACCACCATGCCTGGCTAGATAAGATTTCTAAACAGCTAGGCATGCTGATGCACATCTGTAATCCTAGCTACTTGGAAGCAGAGGTATGAGGATCTCAAATTTGAGGCCCACCTGGGCAGCATTAGCAAGAATATGTCTCAAAACAACTCCAAAAAAACAATAAAATTTTATTGTTGAATTGAATCTGAGAATATGATTAAATGAGGTTTATCTCAGAAATACAAGATTTGTTTAACATTCAAAAATCAGTTTAATCATATTGCTTGTTTTGTTTTGTTTTTTTGAGAGACAGGGTCTTGCTTTGTAATCCAGTCTGGTCTTGAGCTCTTGGGCATCCTCCTGCCTCAGCCTTCCAAGTGCTGGGATTACAAGAGTGCACCACCATGATGGGCTTAATTTATCATATTGTCAACTAAAATTATTTTTCTTGTTTTTTCTCCCTCCCTCTCTCTCTCTCTTTTTTTTTTTTTTTTTTTTTTTTTTTT